AAGCCTTTACCTATTTTCACTTTGCCAAAGCTTCATCATGTTAAAGTGAATATTTCATTTTCTCATGTTAACTCTTTCACAGTGGGTTCATGTGAAAAACATGAGCACATATAGTAACTCTGAGATTTCTTAACATATCTTCACAAAAATTGGTAAGATTTTGTTAAAGATTACAAATATCTTGTACACAAAGAATGACATTATTTTAATTAAGTCTTTCTGTTAAAAATGTTAATAAAAATACTTTTTTCGTCTTAAGGTTTTTGAATTTCACTTGCATAACCTCTAGAGCCTCCTAAATGAAGATCAAAAGTATTTGTAAGGTAAATGTTTATATTTTATTTTTCTGTAGATATTATCATCAACATACAGTGCAATGAAATGTTTATGATCAAGAAACAGAAAAATGTGCATACCTTTTTAATTTTTCATAGAATAATCTTAAAGGATCTTCTTTTGATTATATTCATAATTTCAGGTCTTTACGTTTTCAAATATAGTTAATTTTTAATGCTTTATTTTCCTTTCCTGTTTATTATTCATCTCGACATAGTCAACAGTGCCCTAGGGACATATTATAGTATCTTTGGCAGAGATTTGCAAGCCTTCAGCAAAATGTTCTTGCTCTCACACACTATCATAAGCCTTGAGAACTGAGGCAAAGTTTGAGTTACATTAACAAATTTTTAAACCTTTCAAATATGCATTTTAAAACCTAAATAATAATAAAATATAAAAGTAACGCCTAAATACAATTTAACTGTCTCTCTAACTAATATTTAGGTAAGAAACAACCATAATTGCTATCATGGACATAGCAGCAAATAATTACTAGTGACAGTTACATGTCCATAATAACGAAAGCTATGTGCCAATTTTAAAATAACCATTAGGAGGTTATAGTGTAAAATGAGCTCTTTCTATTGATTATAAATGTTTGTCAAATACGTGTAAATCTCAAGTGTGGCACCCAAGAGGGGTTGGTGAAATGTATTCCTTGTGTGCACTTAGCCAAATAACTTTGAAACATAAGTGCAAATAGCACAGTAAATGTAGTTTCTGTATAGACATGCAAGCTGTGTAGTTGTCTGATTCAAGTAATAGAATCTGGAAGTTGATTTGTGAATGCTCGTGCACGACATGAGAACAATGCTGAAATTGAAATATTTTTTTTGTAAAGGTTTCTTTTGAATTTAAGGACCTAAAACTTCAAATTAAAACATACATTACAATGTTAATTTCACTGACAGTAAAGTTGTTTAATTACATTTTTAATGTAGCTCAATGACTCGCACAGAAAGGAATTTAAAGAGGTACTCATTGCAAAAGTGTTAACTACCTTATGTTCCATTGACAAACCAACAACCACATATGGCTGACCATCTGATTTCACATATCCCCTAGACCCATCCCTCTTAACACTTTATGTTGTCAGATGATGTTCATGTGCAGGCTATTACAGTTTTTGGTACTTACTTGGAGGTGTCTTTTCATGTTGGGTCTTAGACTACTCATAAATTGCCATTGGCCTAGCATTGGAGATTAAGAGACTCCACAAAGATCTATCCTACTCATGACACCTAACCTACTCTTCCTTAAGGTTGGCACCATAGGATCTTATCCGTGGTACATTTGCCAATTTATTTTTATAGTCTGTATCTCATGGCCTATACTTTCAAAACTTTCCAAGGAATGGAGGCCATTTACTCTGCATTCTCTTATCTTACCTCACCTCTACTTATATGTGATTATTCTAGTTAAAATATTATGGTAGAAGTAACTGCATGTACTTAAAATGAACATTTAAATCTGAATGAAAGAAAATGTCAGCAGTAAAAGCAAAGCTAATTAATCTTACTTTTTTGTCATAATATATGGGCACCATAAATCACATTTTTCACTTCTCCTTCAGGGCTGTACATATAATTGTTACAATCTTTATAGTATCACAGTAAAAACCACAAGTATTTCAGCTCAAAGAATAGTTGATAAAATCTCAAAGCTAAAAGCTTTAAAAATTGTTTAAGCCTAATATTTTATCAAATTAAATGTAGAAATACCATATTTTTTGGTATATAAGACAATATTTTTTTTTCATGATTTGCCCGAACCTCAACTTATACACCACGTTGTATTATTTGGTGCTTCAAGGCTGAACTGAAGAAGATATGGGAATCTTGAATGTTAACTAGCTAACAGAGTTTCACCAACACAGGATGTTTGCATCATGCTTCCTATGCTGAGGTTGCACAGTAGATTAAGAATGCATGGGACAGTGTGCCCCAGTCAGCAATTGTGAATGGATGCATAAAGGCTGGAATTATTAGCCGACAAGAAGAGCCTGAGGAAGACCATGAAATGGACAAAGAAAAGAACATTGCACAAAGCATGTCCCCTGACTTGGCAGCAATCTTCCACTCATATACAGAAGATGAGAAAGTTGATGATTTCTCTAATATATAGTAACAACACAGGCCTGCAAATTTATACTTCATAAAAGTTAACTTTCCTCATTGTCCTTTCGAACTGTTTATCCAAAGTCAATTTTCTAATCTGAGGCCCAATAAATATACCTTCTTTATGTTTCATATCTGAAAGAGCTGGGAATTGCCCACATAGATACTTAAAACAGTCACCATCTTTGTCTAAGGCCATTACAAACTGCTTCATCAAGCCCAGTTTTATTGTGAAATGAAGGTAATAGGAATGTCTTTGTGTAAACCCAACATTCGCATTCAATGTTTTTCGATCATGTTATCAGGCTGACTCTTCATGGCCATTTCTTCTTTATCCAGTGCTGATTTCGTGCTCTGCTATCCCATTCATACAAAAAACATGTAAACTTTGTATAACTGGATTGTTGACCCAATAACATACAAATGACTTTTAAGTCTCCACAAAGTAGCCAACCATGTACTTTGTACATGACCTTATTAAGAAGAAGTTGGAAATTTTATGTTTCCTTCAAGTGAACTGAATGAGCAATAGGAACAGATGCATATATGTTACCATTGTGAAGGAGAACACCTTTTAGACTTCTTTTGGAGGAATCAATGAACAATCACCACTCGCTTGGCTCATAGACTGCAGCTTCTAGCATTGGTATTAATTCAGCAATATTGGTGCAATAAACAAGTGAACCTTCTTGCAAAAAGTATGGTATAAACTCTTTCTCATGACTTCTCTACCAGTAAAATTATGTCTCTGTAGAAAGCAAGTTCTTAGCCTGAAGTCTGGACCCCAAAATCTCTGAAAAATCCTTTGGAAGGCTCAAATCTCTCACCAAATCATTAATTTCACTTTGTGTGAAAAATTGTAGTTCACCAGATGTTTCAGGTTGAAAACAATCCCTATCATAATTTCTATTGACATCAGATTCAGAACCAGATGAAACTGTATCAAGAGTCTCTGGTGGAGTAGATACAGGTACATCAGGTCCATGAGCAACAGTGAAGGTTCGGATAAGAAATTTCCTATTTATTTCGAGTGTTTGTAGTCTTGTATGTTACATGAGTAAAAATAGCTGTTATCTCCATGGTTTCTAGACTCATGCCAGGCTTTTGGAATTCCAAAAGGCAAAGACTTTTTCTTACTTTTAGCCCATTGTCTCAACCCTTCGACACAAAATGATGCAAACTTTGTGCAGAGCCCATGATTTGTCTTGGTCCCCTAGTTTTATTCCAAAATACACGTAATACACTTTTTTGACAATTTTTGTAATGTTTGCCTTTGTTTCATTACAACAAATATAACAAAATATGTTTGGGTCATTTACACAACCTCTTATTGCCATAGCGATGAATAAATAATAGTGAAAACAAAAAAATGTCAAAGTGCATGCACAAAGAAATACTATCAATGAAATGACATGTCATGTAGCCTATTATTCGTTTATATACTAGTAGTGTGTTTCTCATGGGTTCTAAAATTATCACTAAGACTCATGTCATGACTGGTCTAGAGAAATCTATAGCCAGTGGTTGTCAACATTTCAAGCATAACAAAATGTGACCCGACTTCAAGGAAAAATTATTCATTTATGTAAAAACACACATATAACATTTTTTTGAAAAATCTGTACATGATGAATAAAAATGGATATTTTCGGGTTCAGCATAAAGGAGTTACTGTAGAACATGTAAAAATTTCAAGACAATAAAACCATTGTACGCCTGTGCTATCTGTGGTGATCAGATGTCGTTCATTTGTTATTTCATGTATGTAATAAAAGGATTTTAACTTGTTATATCTTTATTTCATATTCTCTGTGTTTGGTTATCTTTAAATTTCTACACATTTTCCACCATATTTCTTCCATTGGCATACAGTATATACAACACAGTGGTACCATACTTGATCTATCCTCGTCTTATACTTCACTTTGATTTACATATGAATGAAAGTTGAAAAAATTAGAAATTTAACCCATTTGACTAAAACTCTAAAAAAGTATGGTACCTGTGTTTCATTGTAAGTGGTACAGAAGTTTATTTTAGTAACTTTTAATTGAAACCAATTTATATATATCATAATGCCTTTTCACAATAGGAAAACTGGTAATTAAAAGTATGATCACTGTAATGTAATAACATCTGAAACAGGCATAGTTATTATGTTGCTTAAGAAGCATTAGGAGACAGTGATGGTGAAGATGCTTTTCGTGAATTCATAAATTTGTTTGAAAATAAATATTCAGTACTTTGTTTGAAAGGTTGATGAATTAATGTGAATAATGACAGTACTGTGCTTAAACTTGCAGATATTAAACATGAATTATTAATGAAAAAAAAAGTGAATAAACCAGGACTATTTATAGAATTATAATGTTAATATTCATTATTTATGTTTGTTCTGCATTTTTGCAACAGATTGCTATGTTGTCTTCAGTGTCAGACCTTCCTAGCGAAGCAACAGTAATTGCTCTACAGGGTAACCAGTCAGTCAATGAACAAGGTGTTCAACAGGCAAGTGCTATTTATTGAATGTCTTCTAAAGACAAAAATATTCCTTTTCTGTGTCATATTTCCCACTGGTGGAAGGCTTTTATGTATATATGTAACTGGAAAGTTCCCTTGGGTATGTCATGCTTTATAAGGTATATTTTTATTAATAATAATAATATGTTTATTGACTCAAATATTTGTAGATACTAAATTAATTATTTTTTTTTTACTTTCTAATAAAGTTTAACTTTGCAAAGAAGGAGTTTATCATCATGGAGTGTTACCTCTATATTGTAAAGGTTTAATGTACATGAAGATAGACTATCTGCAGGTGTTTCTTATGTTTGTTAAATTGTAACACATGTACTATCACATTGTGGTATATACAGGTTACTGACTCTTATCTCAACAGATATTAGTTGTGGCTGATCCAGCTCAACTGGCAGCTCTCCAGCAACTTGCTCAGCAACAATTTGCACAAGTGCTTTCCCCTGAGAGCAGCACCGATGGTGGTGATTCTGTATCAAATCGATACCTCTCTGGAAAAGGAGCTGATGGTCTTACCTTAGATCCTGCTCAAGATCCTAAACTGGAACATCCTAGTTCTCAACCTAGTGGAGAGTACACTCTTACTGGATCTCCTATTTCAAGTGAAGATAACTCAGCTCTGGCCCCTCTGACAAGCCAACCAAGTGATTTGTAATGTGTCTTTCATATTGTGTAGTATACTTTTTAACTTTGTCATCTTGCCAAATGTTGTAGTATGAAATATGTTATGACCTTTGATTGTTTATTTTTGTGTAAATACACAGCACACCAGGTACTGTTGGTTGGTGTAATTTTTATTTATTATTGTTTGCTTACATAATGTACTAGTGGAAATCCCAGAAAATGGAATTCTGTCAGGTTGAGTTTAGGTACCAAAGTCTATCAATAACATTCACACTCATTCTAGTAACAGTTTCTTTTAGAGAAATTAATGTAAAGTATGAGGATTTTATGTGTAAATGGAAAATTGTGGGTTCTGGATGGCTGCTTTGTACTTACCATTTTGTTTTCAATCACAAGAAGCCTTTTGTGAATATCATTAGCTAGAGAAATGAGATTAATAACAACCTTTAAATAAAATATCTTTCAAACTTGAAGAATGTAGGTGTGTTGTTCATTGATGATCATATATTTATTAACCTTATTCTGACTAGAGAGCACCTATCGAGTGCACTTCCATTTATAATTTCAGAATTTAAGTAAAAAGAATATTTTTTCTATTTCAACAGTTTTTAACTCAAAAGTATTTTAGAAGTGATATTTTTTAACATTTATGTAGTGTAATTTGCAAAGAAAAATGAAAACCTTTTTCAAACTTTTCAGTATAGCTATGAAGAGTCTCGCCATTAAACAACACTTACTTTGAGAATTTTTCTGCCAAAGTATAGATTTATATTTGCCAAAAAACTATCTTCTTCAGAGAATATAATTATCAATGTTTTGTTTCTCAAATGATATTTCCTTCTTCATTAATTTTATAACTACAGCCTCTCTTTCCCAACCTCTTATGATTTCAAAGCATATGGTCACAACAACTACTAATGAAACCCAGCTTTGAAAATAGCTTCAGTAAAGTTTAAATACCATTTGACATGGTAGGTTATAAACTATTTATGTCAGTGTATAAAAAAGAAAATGATGAGCAGTAATTTATGGTTTTATGATAAGATTATCTCATGCAGAGAAGAACAGTGGAATTTGGTGGTATAACAAACCAATGGTATGGGAATTGTTTTTAGTTTTTGAGGTATTCTTTTCATTCCTGAAAATGTTTTTAAGCCATGGAAATTTTCTTCTGTGGCAAGACATCAAGTAAGCTTAGTTAGGCTTAGAGAGCATGGTGAATGATAGCAAAATATTGTTGCAAAATAAATCCTTATTTATTAAATTTTATTTGGAACACACATAAGTAAAATAACTTAATGTATTTGTTATAAACTAATCTTGACCGAGGATACTGTTAGCAAAAATATTAGGTGCATTCAACACTAGAGCACAAGCCACCAAGTGTTGTTTATTTGCTACTTAACTGCTCTAGTGGTGGTTTTGAACGAACTACTACTGACTACTGTGAGTTAAATAGTCATTATTAATAACTTCTGTTCAAAGCAAGCATGCTAGATAGGTTGGAACTAAAAATAAACCCAGTAAATAATGTATCTAATATCCTATACCATTCAAATAGAAGTGTGCAGTAAATTAAAAACTGATAATGCTTATAATGCAATTTATTTATCAGTTGGGTATCCTTACTGTCAATGATATTTTTTTAACTACAATCTGGAGACTTATGATTGTAATATTATAGCAATAGAAATGGAAACCTACATTAACCAGCTGGAAGAATAAAAATATTTTTAATAAATACATTCTATAAAACTAAATATTTTATTAAAATCTATCAGGACAATAAGAACAACCAGAAAAACTGCCATGATAGGACTTGTATATGTTCAAATAAACCTAACTTTAACTACACTTGCATTTTAACCTAATATTTTACTGTGGAAAATGAACATGCAGTACCTAAATGAACAAGTGAAGTTTGGCATTTACATAAATCATATAAAAGGGGGAGCCATCTGAGACTATATTTACAAAGGCAGATTTTAGTTGGTAGAAGAGCTAGGTAGTTAGTGGTATTTGTTAATTGATAAGTACAGTGTTCCTCAAAAAATGGATGGCAGATGTTGCCTGGCAAATAGTCTTGGCAGCTTTGCTATAACAAAGACAGGGCAAGCAAGTTTGGTGGCAGTAGGAATTGAACCTGAGACCTCAAATCAGAAGCTTCCCTTCCCAGAATCATGAAAGCTGAACAAACTAAGTAAAAAAAATTCTTAAAGGGCTAAAACTGGGCAGAGTACAGATAGCCTATTATATAGCTTTGTGCTTAACAAACAAACATAATAGCAATATTATGATTACTTGGGTAGTTTGAATAATTGGAAACCATAATTTCAATTAGTTGATTATTTTTGTGACAACTTGTTTAATATTAATATAATGAATCAAACAGGCTTTCTAGATAAGCTATAAGTAGGTTAAAAAATTTGAATAATCACTAGAGAGCTCAACATCATGATGGCAAGCAGTGAGACTGAGGCTAAATATCTACTTACTGAGTGCCAAAACTATAAGAAATCACAAAAGAATTTGTTTTTTCAGTCTGTTATAAATAATCCAACAGCAAATTACAGAATTGACATTTTTTGAAAGACAAGTGAGGTAGGAGGGGCATGGCATGTGGGTTTGACTTGTTTCTTTTATGTACCAATAGAGTAAAAAGCTTGTATTCTGGCTTACCAATAACCATAGTTTAAATATGTAATTTGTGGGAAACTTGGATCATAGCGTAGAAATAAAACCAAAAATGAGCTATTTGGAGTGTAGCTGCATCACATGATACAGAGAAGTGAAGATTGAGAATTTATTTCCTTTTTGAAATTAAGAAAATTAAAACAGAGATAATATAAAACATCGAGTTGTAAAATATGTTTTGATACTAGGCTTATTGGCTTTTATAATAAAGTTGCTTAAATTTTAAATGTCACTTGTCAGTAGATTGTTGGAATAATCAAAAGTTCATTTGATTAGTTTTATACCAAGAGAGTTGGAAAAAAAAGTGAAAACATAAACTAGCATTACATCATTTAGATCTTAATCCTTTAATTTTTCATCATTTAAATAAGTAAATGAGTTTGATTCATACAGCTACTTACTGGTAACAAAAGGATATTCTGGTTGTGATGTACTCATTATATGTTTTTTCTGCTACTGCTCAGCTGTTTGTACAGTAAAACATAAATTTAAAATATAAGGTTTTAAATAGGTGATTTTCATAATATTGCTTCACCATTTGGCCAAAAACAGTTTTAATCTTTGGGATTGGTTATACACTGTACCACTTCACGTCTTGCAAGTAGGTGAAATGTTTCAGCTAATAATTTATATTTTGTAGGTCAACCTGCCAAACAAGCTCTGGTATTGTGTGAAAAGCCTCATTGGAAGCAGCATACAACAAACAGAGTATTTTAAAATGCTGTTATGCAGTCTGGAAATTTGTATTGGACTCGTGAAGAATGGTGTAGTCAAAATTATTAGCCATATTGTTTTCACAATTTTCTTCTGGTTTTTGTCACACAAACAACTTAAAACTACTGGTCCAGTAGTTTAGTTTTGGGTTGTAGTATATCAATCATGTTGTGATGTAATATTTTACTATTGTTTAAAGGAATTACTCTATCACTTTAGGACTTATACACATAAAAACTTGAATTTTAGTTATAAAAATACAAATTTAAATAGGATCAAGTAAATATTCAACCGTAAGAACAAATATATTTATATATATATATATATATTGCATAAATACACAGTGTTCTCAAATCTGTAATTTTGATGAGGGAGAGAAGTATGTACAAAATATTAATTGCAGCATTGATAAACTCCATGAAAATGAGTGATGTTTAATTTTAAATTACAATAAAACTGACTGAAAGTAGAATTTAAATAAAACTGCTAAATATATAGCCCAACTGATAAAAGGTTCTATTGGGCAGCAACTTGTGGAGAACAATAGATAGATATGAAATATTTTTACATGACAAATTAAGAGGAATGTGGAAGAAAAAAAACTCCTAAAGTTTGTGATTTTATCACAAGATTTAAGTTTATTGGAAACTCTGAAGTAAATGAATTATATGAGCATAAATTACAAGTTCAGTCCCAGACTGCTTAAATAAATATTTTTTGCTCTATGTATGCTTTAGAAGAAGTTTAAAATAATGCCAACAAAATTTTGTTTGCAGTTTTAAAATCAACTTTTGCATTTCTGAGAATACTTTAAAAGTAACTTTGATGTTATTCCTTAAAATTAAAAAAATAATTAAAACTGTACAGCATAATCACTAACAATATATTCTTTTAAATTTAATTCATGTGAAAAATTAAAACATTTGATTAACAAAAGCTGACTAAAATTATGATCCAAATACCTCTACTTTGCATAATGTAAAAATTTAAGGATTTTTTTTAAATCACTGTAATTTATTTTTCATAGATTTATCAATGAGTGCTCTGTCATCTCATTTCAAGAAAATTGGCGTGATGAAATGTCCATCATACAGCCACACAGGCCATGATAACTAGGGTATAAAAGAGCGAACAATAAATGAGAATTAACAAATAATATTCCCCACCTTGTGGTCAGTTATAAAAATACAAAAATATTGTTTTATATGGTTTGTGTAATACAAGAAACATCTTAATTTTTACAGTTCCCCCAAACTCCCAAGAGGGAAAACACCCACCTGTGATCAACAATAAAGGCTGAAGGATCATTCAGTTTCCTTTTTTTTTAAAAAATATATCTTAATTAAGAAATGTGTAAAATACAGAAATCATTACTTTACACAACAGTGTTTGAAAGTGTGAATGAAATTCTGAAGGAGGTAGTTTAGAAATTATGTTCCTCATAGGATTTTCTACTTTCACACGTGAACAATTAAGGTAACAATCAATAGCACAGTTTTCTTGGTTAATTACAAATATTTATAGGTTAAGATCAACAACATAGTTTTTTTTCTTAAACTAAAAAAAATATTTGTAGATCACAAGTGAAATATATAAACAGATAAACTTTGATACTTCCCATGTTATTAGTTGGTTTAGTATTAATATAGAACACTGTGTACTTCAAGTCAAAACACCAGTAGTAATTTCATGGCACTTCAGAATAAATGTTAATCTGAGTAGAATTAAACATATGACATTTTAATTGTCTTAAAAAATAAAAGTTTGTAATATTATTATAAAGTAACTATAAAAAAAATCATTTCTAATAGATTATGAGCTGATTAAAAGTAAGCAAAATTCTAAAGTCATGCAAAAATCTGGAAAGTGACTTAAGATAGTATTTAAACTTTGGTGTGTGCATTCACACGTATGTGAACGTTTACTTCACAAAAACTTACAAATTTGAATAAAAAAATCTTTATTTCATTGTTTTAGGTTTACATATAAAAATTGTCATTATAAACCAAACCCTTTAGAATAGTACTGAACACAAAAGATACCTTTTTTTTAAATCAAAAGTGGAAACTTCAAAATGCATACTGTGACTTCCCAATATCCAACTTGCAAAAACCAGTGCAGTATACACTAATTCGTGAAATTAAATTAACTTGACAAACTAAAATATTTGAATATTATTTTTATTAAAAAAAAACAAAGAACACTGATTTGTTTTTCTATTATTTATAATATGTGTACTATGAAGAGATTTTATAACATGTATTATTTTTATAGTTACTGTGAAATGTTTACATATACTACACTAACATAGACATCATAATTTTAGGGTGTAATAAATTTGCCCAGGTGCATTACTGTGAAGTTATACATGGTTCTTTCCTAAACACTTCTTAATCATCTTCTCCCTTCAGTGTTTCCTTGTCAAACATGTACTCTCCCAATCCAGAACCTACACGTTTTAAGTTGGTCACATAGTCAGAAAGCTGCTTGATTGACTCCACTTGCTCCTTCAAGTACTCTGTCTCCAAGAAGTCACACATCTGTTGTACATGAAGTTGAGAAATATTTGTCATTTAAAAGTTTCTGTTAAAAACTCCCATATTCAAACTGACTTAACCTACAACTTGGACTCTAAATACATTATTTCACACACAAATTTTATTACAATGCATCAAGATATTACCAGAGAAAACCTTGGAACCAGGAATTCCTAGCCTCTAATTGATAAGACACACAAGCATTGTTTAGAAAACATTTTAGATAATTAAGTATTATAAGCTCATCTGCCAACTAGGGATCCAACCATAGCATTTTAAAACATTGTTCCTTTATGTATGAACAGCAGGAAACAATCTTACTCAAAATATATACCTTGTTACTCCTTAAATTTGTATTATGTTCAATACAATATGTAGAGCTAAAATTAAAGAAAGTCCTAGTAATGAAGAGAAGTTTAAAGAACCAGACAGACTGACTCAAGTAACCAGAAATTAAAAAAAAAACAAAAGTGCAAAAGGATTTCAGAACTAAATAGTCTAAGGAAAAAAAGTCACTCCATCTATGTAGACTCGAGATATTGGCAAGTACAAATATCATATAAAAAAATCCTGAAAAGCATAATGAATACTGACTTAAATCAACACAGATAGAAAAAAAAAAACAGAAAGGCTTCTAGCAAGAAAAAATAGCTTCAGATGTTAAATAAAGATCAAGAGAATATTTTTTTAGTTACTACTACTACACTGGACTAGTTTATATAACAATTTCTTTAACTAGTCTTTAAAAAAAAAAAACAAACAAATTCAACTTGCTCTCAAACCCAAACCAAATGTACAAACAAAAAGTGACTAATAAATGATTAGTCTACTGGCTTCTCTTTGTATTGTACTTTTTAACTAGAACTGTTAGAATTACATGCACATCCACAAGAATTCTAAATCACTTTTTCTACAAGTACATAAGAACTTGTAATACAACATTAGAAAAAATCATGCAGCATTAATATTAGACAAATTTTCAATTTATATAGCTATTCTAAACATCTATGAGTGAAATGTTAAAGTTGTTCTAAGTTACGCAGATAGCCTAAAATGGTAGCAAAATCACCCACTCTTGAAACACCACCACCACATGTTTTTTTAGCACTTGCATTACAATTACTGTATCCCAAAAGCCTAAGGGAAGTGTACTTAGCCTTACCAATTAATTCGGATTGAGTCTTGTTTTAATAGGTAAAGTTAAACTTCCAGTGGTTTTTCAAGGTACATACCTTATCAGAAAATCACTATTGAAATGTGATCATTGCTCTTTACAACTGATTTTCAGCTATACAAAGTTGCTTTAGTTTTAGAACTTTTTGGTTAAAAGTTTTACATGTTAAAAAAATAATAATCATCTGAGAAATGTTGAAACATTTTAGAGTTATGTACGATACTTGTTGCACAAAAGCAATCATTAAAAGTACATAAAGCAGTTTAACATCAGAAAAGTAACATGCTGCATCCAAAATAGTACCTAAATAATTTAATATTCACTCATCCAAATCCAACTGGACAAGAGTTGTTCACACCATAACACTGTATGACACAAGTCAGTCTGTGACTTCAGTTTATCAGATGATTAATCTGTTAACTGAACCATCACAAAATCAACTTCATGAAACATTAGAATGAGATGGATAAAGTACATACCATCCATGACTTGAAAACTATATAACTGTACAAGATAGCATAAAGTTTAAAATTAGTAATTAATAAAAAAACAACTGAAAATAGACGTCCAAAAAACATTACCAATATTTATTTTAAAAGTTCTTTTCTTCTGGTAATGCTTTCATAGCTGATCACTTGCCTAGAATGGTTCTCAGGGCTTAACTACAATTCAACAAATTACTGATAAAATTATGATCCACATCAGAAATAATGTCCTGAACAATAACTTTTCCTATTATTAACAATACTAAGTGACTTAATACATTTATGCAAACAGATCTTTCAGAAACAATATAGCCCCAACCTAAAGTGTACAACAAATTAGAAGCCAAGAAAAAATTAAAAACCACAAATAACTAAAGATTATAAATTATATTAGCAAGGAACAGTCATATATGAGCAATTTAAAATTCTTAAAAAATATGTCATATAACAGATGCTACAATACTTAGAATTGTGAAATACAAGCACGTGAAACAAAAAACAGAGCCTTCAAAGTCTTATTCCAGGGCTTGCTAAAGATGAAAAAAAATTATAGAACTAGGAACGTTCTATGTGCTTAAGGTACAATCAACAGATGTTCTCCATGCAAACATGTGGAAAGTAGTAGTGACAGATGCAACTGAGAGAAAACTATTTGTGACTCATAATGAAATTCCTTTTCTAACTAGGATTTTATAAAATTGATACAGAAATCCACTTATCAAACTATTTCAATCGAAAACTAACCTGAACGTCATTCTGGTTAGAAGCTATGCGATGGAGGTCCAAAAGAGCCTGGTTAACAGTTTTTTCCAGATCCAAAGCAGCCTGCATAGCATCCAATCCAGTTCCCCAGTCTTCAACACTAGGTTTCTGTAACATTTACATAGTTTTACAATCACATCAACTTTTAACAATAAAAATGTATCAGAGCTTGATGAAACAAAATATTTTGATACACCTGAGCTGAGATTACAATTTATGGAAGAATAACTGGGCACTCAGATACAGGTAAAAATACAACATAGATAATTAAGTTTATTTTTTATTCATTGTTTTTAATAAATAGAGAACTAAAAAATACTAGTAACATATGTATATTACTCCAAACAAACCACTGAGGGTGATAAGGGTATTTAATCTCTCAATGTCAGGTTTACAGACAACTCCTAGAGCTGGATTTATTTTGAGATACACAATAAATAGACATGTTTTAATATTTCATTACTTAGCAGGAGCTAGTAAGGATCAGGGTAGATAGTTATTTTTTCTACTTGTTTGGAACTTGAAAATAAACTCCATTTTAAGTCCTCTAACAGTTGTGACTTTTAACCCAGTCATCTTAGGTTGTATTATCCTCTTAATATAAATATGGGAGTTGTAATTTCGAGTTCAGGAGATAACCTTCACTGGACTGGTTATGTATAGAACCTGTTTTCTCAAAAGGCAACTACCTTCCTACAACTGACTGCAGATGAATGGTGCATTTAAACATGGTTCACTGATCTTGAAGATCCATACCTGTTTTGTTTTCTCTCCCATGTTACCCTTACAAATATTGGTTACACCAAATAAATGTTGTATCCTTAAAACTATGTGGGTCCTAGATCTACAGATACTTCTCTTTAAACTCCATTTTACTGTTCTCACAACTTAGTTTATATCTAGTAATGTCTTTTGTACAACCCCTTTTACAGTTTTGGCCTTTTTAGAAGTTAGTACCAAAGTGACACAACTAAAATAACCAACTGAAGGTGAAGCACTAAACCAAATACATTTATATATATGAAAAGCCTAATGACATCACAATGATATTTTTTGTACTGGTAGAGAAAAACATGTCAAAGTATGAATTACTGGATGAATAAAATTAAAAGCAAATAAAATCTGAAGAGTCTGAGCAAAGAAATTTATTAATATGCAAAAAATTCATATATTTGCAAACACACCAAGTACATCTAGCCTAAAGGATGCAAGTTTAGACAGTGTTTAAAACAACCCTTAAATTAGTAGATACAGTTAATATCACACACACACACACACACACACACACACACACATTATTATTAATGGAACAATAAGGTTTACACAACATTAAAAAATACAAAACAAACCTGGATATTTTGCAACACAATACGTCCTCCTCTCATATTTTGATACTTCATCAGTTTCTCAGCATGCTCTCGCTCTTCCTCACTTGAACTCTTAAAAAATTTGTAGAAACCTTTCAAGGCTACATCATCTCGATCAAAATAATATGCCTGAAATCAAAGATCATCTGATGTTAATTATGAAATATTTATACAAATACTTAAAATTATCTTCAAAATATATATTTCTTATGCAAACTTCCTCCAATGTGACTATTAAGTCAATAAATTTGTTATCAAAATTTTAACTGTACCAGCTTTCAACCTTATCGATCCCAAATCAGGCTTAACAACAATCAATTTACCAAAGCCATTAACTACTGACAATACTTTACTCTTATCATGCACTGATTCGTTCCAGAGAGAATAAGTTTCTATTTCACTTCTAGGGTGATAATTTACAGTCTCCACGATGTTAAGAATTCAAATTAAAGATGATTATCTGATCATATGGGCAGGGTATTAAAAACTGAGCTGTTCGAGATGATGATAGAAGATCTCCCACATAATGCATTTTCTGTTTGCATTTAATCATTGCATAAAAATCTAATTCCACTGTAAAAAATCAAATAGAGCTGTACTACATATTTATCACACTGGTGAAATTCTGATTCATTGGATTGATTGTCAAGAAAGAAAGAAAGAAAGAAAGAAAAAATTAAATTTCATTAACCCAAGTTGCCTTGAAGATGTATAGCTTCTCAATTAATAAAAATGTTGTCCAAGCTGGTGGAATACTTCACATCTTCAAAACTGAAACTCTGAAAAACACATTAAACTTAATGATGCCAGTGACCATCATTCTTATCTCTACAAGACAAACCGTCTCAAACAGTGAAAAATGTGTTAAGTACAAAAAGATAATTTTATTTAGATAACAAAAACCTGATATTTTTTCCAAAGTTATTATTTATGTATAAATCTCTTTTCACACATGTAAGAAAATTTTGAAAATGTATTTCTTATTTTGAAATAATTATAACTTTAAGTCCAAAACTTCATAAAGCAGATAAATAGCTTTTATTATTTCCTTTAAATTTATCCTAGTCCATCTACAAAGTTTACTTTAGTTTGTTTATTAAGCAATACATGTTTCTCACAAATTAAATTTCTTTTCATTTCATTCCAAAGTTGCTGCTAACATATATTACAATACTAAACATATATGTTTGGTAAATCATTGACATAAACAGATCAGTCAACTTTATTAGTTTACAGCTGGATGAAACTTGTATAACACTAAGGCTGATTTTTGTTTTGTCTTTTGTCTTCCCTATATTATATGTACACCATAGTGATTTTATACCTAGTACTAAAAGTAATACTAGCAACTGTGATAGGCAAGTGCATCATGTATTTTCCCACCATCTTTAGCAACATAGAAGTATTGGAAATTTTTGTGTAGTTTGTAAGCAGTTTTAGCATTAAGACACTTGGCCCATAGTTTCTCCATTTGAGCAGGACTTTGCTGTGCTGAGAAAAAGACAGACATCCTTTCACTGGCTAAGGAGATGGCATTGGTACGTCTAACACTGCAAGTGCCGAGAGAGTGGTGATCATGTGGTTACACAATCACAAGACCAAGAAATCAATGGTTCTATGCAAGCATGAAGCCTACTTTTCAGGGTCTTTCCTATTTAGCTTTTTTTGTGACTGGCTCTGCAGAAATTCAACTCAAGGGAAAAAAGCTGAAGATTTAGTCACTGATCCAGCAGAGACAATCATCTACTTGTCTATACATAATAGCTTTTGTTGGTCGTAACAATGTTTTCATGTCCTCAAAACGGGTTCAATCTATTTCTCACGAAACAAAATCTCGTGAAGTTTGAAGATTCATGTAACTCAACAAATTTCCTATTTGACCCTGCTCTTATTAACAGACCTTTCCAATACTTGTATGGAAAATATGTTTATCTGAAAATACCACAATAGTAATAATTGGTACTTTAGTTAATGAAATAATTAAGTACTAAGTACAGTTAGTCATCTAGTGATCTACAAAAATACTTTTCGATTTCAGTTTTACTTGTAAACGCTTTTGTTCTCTTACTTTGGCGTATAAAATAAATACTACATGACAGATGTTAATATTATGTAACTCATTACATCATGGAATGATAATTTATAACCAATAATAAATATAAATACACCGTAATCTAACTCTTAACTTCTAACACTTAAGTTACTTGCATTTTCAACAAGTATATTTTACTTACCATAGACATGTACACATAGCTTGCATATAATTCCATATTAATCTGTTTGTTAACTCCAGCTTCACATTCCACATTATAATTCTGCCTAGGCTGACTGGTTGCCATCGTAGGTATTTAATTCTTTCAGAATCTTAAAAAATAGTTTGTTCAATTTCAAACAAAAAAGGTGTTCGTTCAAACACTGTTGACGCTAAACACCACAGGACATATTGCGTCAATTCTGACCTACTTCTTATATAACCTTTGGAAAACATCACAAAGGATAAAAGTAGGTGATCTAGGATTGGTTGATTTTAAAATTAATAATTCTTAACATATATATAAAAAGTGCATTTATAATAAAAGAATAATAACAATTTATATTTAAAACATGAAATTAACTCAAATTTACATAAATATCGAGCAAAAAAGTAAAACAAATAGAATTTAGTTTTGTCCAATCAGCGGTGTTACTATTTCGTAATAAAAGTGCAAGCGAATTAAATTTTACGTAACGGTTTTTGGTTTGGTTTGTTGTGAATTTCGCGCAAAGCTACACGAGGGATATCTGCGCTAACCGTCCCTAATGTAACAGTGAAAGACTAGAGGGAAGGCAGCTAGTCATCACCACCCACCGCTAACTCTTGGGCTACTCTTTTATCAACTAATAGTGGGATTGAACGTAATATTATAACGCCCCCACGGCTGAAAGAGGCGAGCATGTTTGATTCGAACCCGCGACCCTCGAATTGCGAGTCAAGTGCCCTAACCATCTGGCCATGCCGGGCCGCGGTTTTTGGTTAATAAAGTTAAAAACATTAATAACAATGATTTTTGTATAGTTAGTGTTCAGTTAGAATATTTACAAGTAAGTGAAGCAGCGTAATATGATCAAACGTTTAAGTATTTTTTATTAATTAAAAGTAAGGACAATACATATCTCAATGGCTACGTCGTATGTTGAAATGCTTAAAATATAACCTTGCAAGTATCTTCTTGACAAT